AAGACAAGGCGTGGAAAAAAATTGTCCCTTCTTGCACGGAGGATGACGCCATGGTGGATTCCGATGATATCATGAACAACATCAAGGATAAGCTCAACGGTCCTTCTAATTCAGCGGGGGACGAGAGTTTCATGAACGACATCATGGATAAGCTGACCAATCACCAATCTAGCCGTTGGATCATCGCGATTGCCGGCATGGCCGGCATTGGTAAGACCACTCTTGCAAAAACTATTTACGAAAATCCACTTATTGTGGAACAATTTGATATTTGCAGCTGGGCTACAGTCTCCCAAGAATCTGATTCGAAAAGGATTTTGTTACAAGTCCTTGACTGTTTAACCATGGGGAGTGAGGACAGCGAATATGAAAAATTAGGACAAGAACTCTATCAAAGCTTATACCGCCGACGGTATCTGATTGTTATGGATGACATTTGGAGTATGGATGCTTGGGACGGGGTGAAGCGCTTCTTTCCCAATAACAACGACGGGAGCAAAGTGTTGATAACCACTAGGCTATCGAACGTGGCTTTGCAGCTGGACGGCCCAGATTACATTCAGATGAGGTTTCTGAATGAAGACGAAAGCTGGAATCTGCTGCGTAGGTGTGTGTGTCACGAACAAGAGTGCCTGCCAGAATTGGAAGAGATTGGGAAGGAGATTGCCAGGAACTGTAGAGGCCTTCCAATGTCAATTGTCGTGATCGGGGGACTCCTAGCAAAGTCTGAACAGAAACGTGAAAACTGGAAACACATTTTAGAAAATTTAAGCTCGATCGTGAATTTAGAGAACGACGAGCATTGCTTTAGAATACTAAAGTTGAGCTACAATCAACTGGCTGTCCACCTGAAGCCGTGTTTTCTTTACATGAGCATGTTCCCAGAGGACGACTGGATTCATGTCCCCACACTCCTCAAACTATGGGTTGCTGAAGGATTTGTGAAACCAGTGGCCGATAAAAGCTTGGAAACAATCGCGAGAGAAGTGTACCTACATGGTCTCGTCATCAGAAATCTAATCTTGGTTCATGAGTGGGGTCGTACTCAAAGAATAAAACGTTGCGGCATCCACGATCTCCTGAGAGACCTATGCATAAGAGAAGCTGAGAAATACAAATTGTTTCGCATGATGGAAACAACAACTCACAACCCTGAGCACGACCAAATTAGCTGGCGTGCCCAACGCCGCATTGGCATTCACCAAACGTGGAAATGCATTCCAAATCGACTCCCTAATTTTGAGCAATCCGCATCACGAGCACGAACTCTGTTGTGGAATGTTGATGGAAGTTTACCACCTTTAGTTCCCTTTAGACTTAGATTGCTAAGGATTCTGAATGAATTTGGTAACGTGTATGAATATTTTGGAAAAGAATTATTGCTTCCTGTCAACTTGTGCCACCTGGTTGCCCCAAGGATTCAATTCCGTGTGGAAGTTTCTAAGAGCACCCACAATGCTTTGGGTTTCTTAGAAAAAAGTTACATGCCATGTAAGGAATAGACCTAGTCTATAAAATAGTTTTCTCCAATGCAATTAAAAGTGGAACTAGTCTAGCTTATGTGGCAATAAAAAAATGAGACCTAGTCCACACTTGGGTCTATTTTAGACCCAAGTACAAACCCAAGCACTCATCATTTATTCCTCATTTAATTTTTCTTATAATAAATGAAATATACTAGAGCATTTTTATTGGTTGTCATGTATTCTAGACCTAGTACTTTTTGGTTTTGCATTGGATAGATTTTGGTTTTTTTAGTTTAGGTTTGTCCATGTCATTATGGACTTAAGTCTATTTATTTGCCACATATGCAAAAAGAGACCCAAAGCATTGCGTATGCTCTAAGTGTCTCTGGAATTTACAGACGTTAATAGTTGCTTCGGACGATAATAATTGGTCGGTGCTGGACATCTGGCGGATGCCCCAACTCAGGCACGTCAAGGTATGCTATTTTCAGCTCACGGATCCTCCTCCACTGGATGAAGAAAATGGTGATGGGATGGTGTTGGAGAAGCTAGAGACGCTCCAGTTCGTACTTAACTTGAGGTTGAGTGAGGAATTGGTTGAGAGAATCCCCAATATCAAGAAGCTGGGACTTTGGTACGACAAGATATTATCACTCGACAATCTCACACGGCTACACAAGCTGGAGTCCCTTTCGATTACATTTTTTTCAGCATTCTCTGAAAAAATTGAGGTGACGACGTTCCGAATTCGCTCAGGAAGCTGATACTGTGGAACACCCGGCTGGGGTGGGAGGATGAGATGGGGACAAAGATCGGGTCGTTGCCATATCTCGAGTCCCTCGAGCTACACGAGAAAGCGTTTGTGGGTTCCGAGTGGGAAACAGCCGATGGAGGATTTCCAAGCCTGAAGTACTTGAAAATTACTTGCTACAATCTTCAACAATGGAAGGCAGAGGCCGCGCACTTCCCGAGCCTCGTGCGGCTCGACCTGTGTTGTGTAGAAAACCTGAAGGAGATTCCATTGGAAATTGGGGATATACCCACGCTTAGGGAGATCAATGTGTATGACTGTGCGGACTCAGTGGTGCTTTCTGCAAAGAAGATATTAGAGCAACAAGAGGAGTGCCTTGGGGAAAAAGTGGACCTTAAGATTACAGTTTGGCTAGATGATAAGAACAAACTACGAAAGACCGACCTGAGTAGGAATCTCAACATTAAAGTTTTTGATTATGTTTGGTAAAATTAACTGATAAGTTAGTTGATACCTTATGTGTAATTTTTGAAAAGCTATCTTATTTAACTTGGAAAGCAGGCAGCCACTGAATTTTTTTTTTTTGGCAAAGTTATTTCTTTTTTCCATTGTATTGTATTGTATTCTCAATTGTTTTAATTTTATTTCTTTCACAATAAAAGCAGGTTACTTCAAAAAACTAATCAATGCCAATAATTGAATTGAGGGTACAGTTACTGTATAATAATAATAATAATAATAATAATAATAATAATAATAATAATAATAATAATAATAATAATAATAATAATAATAATAGTAAGATTTTTGGTCAGAAACTTTTACAAGAAAAAAAAAATAAGCAAAACGATAGAGGGTACTACTATGAATGGTTTGAGCTTTTGAGGTTTTTCTTTAGAGCATCTGTATCGGTAGCGTTATTTACGTGTTTAAACGAAGCCCCCGTTTAACATGGATGTGAAGCGTTCATTATATAGGGGGGCCCACTTGGCCGTTCATTGCATTGAACGCCTGGTGTCTTTTTTTTTATTTCTTTTTTTTTTTTTTGTTTTCATTGGATTTGTTTATTTTAGTTTTGTATTCTTTTCTTTTCAATTACTTATTTAATTATTTTTTTTGTTTTAGTTTTTCAATTATTATTTTTTTGTTTTTTAATCTTAATTTATGTTTTTTTTTTAAATCTAATAATATTTAGTGTATTTTAAAATTAAATAATCTAATTAAAAAATACATTTATTTTATTAAGAATAAAATATAAAAATAGTATTGAATGAGTATGTAATGGGTCCCATATGTTTATGTTTAAGGGTATGTTTGGTATGACATATAAGCTAGCTTATAGCTTATTTGATTAGCTTATAAGCTTCCTGTATTAAATAAGCCCTGTTTGGTAGGACGAGCTTATTTAAA